GGCTACTGTAGAAATATGGCAGACTCCATAGAAGAAGACCCGCTCCCTCTGTAGATAAGAACAGCTCATTCTAAGGTAACGAAACAGAACCATTCCTATATTGAGGTGATTATACACTAATGAAAACATACCTATGAATATTATATTAATTTCTGCCAATAGATCCTGAATGTTACACACTGGACCTTTAAAATACATGAGGTAATGTAAAGACATGGCAGCGTAATGTAAGAGATGCACTGAAGTGTCTTCTGGATGTGTTCTAGAAGTTTAATACATGTTGCCTAAAGAACCACCAGTTCAGCCATGCAAGTCATTTAAATATAAACATAGTTCGTCATAATCTCAACCTTCTGTAACCGTGGTTTCCCCACAGGTTAATTTACAGCAAGACTTTGTAGCTTTTAAAAGATGAAATAACACATTGTTACAGTTTCAGTTCAACACACCCAGGTGTTCAGCTGCTACAGCCTTACTTGGTCTGGTATGACCAGTAGCTAATGTCACCAAACTTTAGACAGTTCTTGCTGTGTGTCTGACATCCCTGAGTCAGTTCTCTGACTCTGAGTCTTCTCTGCTTGTACTACTGTTGCATTACCCTTTGCCATTTACTGTTATCCTTTAATTGCTACCACAGGCCATCACATGAGCAGTGTGCCCAGAGCGCTCGCTCTTCTGCTCCTGCCCCCAACTTGAGGGACGAATTAGTGAACTGAATTGAATTGTCACTCGTGGCCACAGTGGATGTTATTGAGCCAAAGTTACATAGGCTTGCTATAGTTTTGATCCTGCAAAGGACTGAAGGTGTGGTGGATGGTTTGTTAGTGAGCGGGAGCCTTTTTAAGAGCTTTTGTGGTTTGTTAGTACAGTTAATAAGATTATGAGCAGAAACTGTGAATGTTTTCTCACAGTGTAGGCAGTAGAGTTTGGAAATGAATGAGGCTTTCTTCCCGTCAATGCACGATTTCAAGCACTTTTAGAGCAAAGACAGAGTATGTGACAGATTTGGATTTTGAAAGTTGGCAGGATGCAGTGCTTGAGTTTCAGTTTTTTGTTGTTATATACAATAAAAGTAAAGTAAACCTTATTTTGTGGATAGTTATTATTATTACAGTTAATTTCATGTTAAAATTATGATCCACTGATCTTTAAAGGTTGAGGGCTATATTTATTATTCAGAATTATATATATAGTGCTATGTTTGATGGACAGGTTGCATCCTCTAGGTTTTATTGTTGTCAAGCAATATTTCTGGAACAATGGTATAACTGTACAAGTGTAACTGTATATCTGGCGTCATTTCTCACTTTAATATGACAAACTCAGTCAGATGTTAATACATAGAAATCCAATACGTTTATTTTACATTCATACATCTATAACATTGTACAATAATTTTAATGCAGTTTAAAAAAGCCCAATCCAAAAACAAGTCCTGAAGATTTACAATGATAGATTTGCATGTTTTAGGGTTGGTGACAAGCATTTAAAAATATATACATACACTCACACACACACACACACTCACACCCAACGATCTAGGACAAGTGGTGTCCTTGAGTTGTACCTTAATACAGCTGGGCTGAATGGAGAAGAATTCAGTCACCATATAGAGAAAGGCACATTGAATACACAGTGTATGTACAAACAAAAACCTTGACACTTACACACAACTTTACTCTAGGATCTAGAACAATGACCAAAACTGTAAACCTTCACTTATGGAAAACAAATGAACAAAAACAAAAATCACATCTATACAAATACGTTTGACGCAAAATATTTTCTTGGTCATAACAAAGCAGTACCTTGAAATGCATTTCAACACTTAGATTGGCTCTGCCAGCAGAGAGCAATCGCACAGATATAATTACACAATATGTCACAATATTTATGCAGTTGCCCACTTCATGTGCGCGCTGACAACTGGCAACGGTAAGAGAGTACCTCATGCATATCTTCATCAGACAGCAGCAGTCATCTGATATGTTTAGACTAAAACCAATTACAATGTCATTTTTTCCCCCCTCTTCACATGAATATGGCAACTTGACATGGTGCAACATGTACGTACATCTACATAAAAATGTATAGACAACTCTATACAGCCGCAAATCTCATTATCTTAAAATATATGTACCACCCGTCAATCAAAATTTTCAATACTTTCAGAAAAGTAAGTTCTCTGATATAAAATACTGTATTTTCAAAAAAACAGATTGTTTACATTCCATCCTTCTCAACAAAATAAAGCTTTATATTCGTACCTTCAAAGCTTAGAAACACTTCCAACATACATATATATATTTATATCTATATAGAAACAATAAAGTGACTAAGATGCCATAAGTGGCTCTACGTTCACATGTAGTGGAAACCCGTTTAGAATGGCGTACACAGCCAATTTATTTGTCTAATAAACACAGTGTGGCACTACAATTTTGGATGATTGTACAAGTTGGGGTCTTTAAATGCCAAGGTCAAGATTGCCTCCTTTAAAACTGTTCCCTCCTTCCAGCTCAACATGCCTTTGTCAAGTCAGTAGGCATGTCTGCTGTTGACATACGGTATTGGATCTTTGTGTTAGTGATGGCTCCGTGCTTCTGTCGAAGATGCAACCGTAGCTGACTCTTGTGGCGGAAGTGCAAGTTGCATTTCTCACACTGAAAAGGAAAGTGGCAAAACATTAGTTGAAGGCATTTTTACAGTCTTTTACAGTGATGTCTTAAATGTGTTTTCGAAAGAGGTTATGTTATTGTATGTTGTTATACGGTATGTCAACCTACATGGTAGGGCTTTTCTCCTGTGTGTATACGCAGGTGGCTCTTCAACGTCTGCAGGTGACGGAAGCGTGTTCCACAGATCTCACATGGATATGGCTTCTCACCCGTGTGGATCAACACATGGGCACGGAGATGAGCAACCTGAAACGTGGACAAAAAACATTAATATAATCAGCTTGAATTAAACTGACATCCCCTAGGGATGTTCTTCCCTGTAATTATGGGCAAAAAAAATAACTATACCCACCCATAGTTAGAGTTGAGTACTAGCGTTATTAGCTCATACACAATAGAGAGGGAAAATGTTTAATATAAGTGCAGGTTTAGATTTTTATGGAAGGGTGTTATTACCTGTACAAAACGAGCTCCACACGTCTCACATTTGTATGGCTTCTCTCCTGAGTGGATGCGAGTGTGAGTCTTGAGGTTAGCTGGTCTGTTAAACTGAGCACCACAGATATTACAGCGATACGGCTTCTCTCCTGAAAACAGCGAATCAGAGAAAAAATACCTGTTAGCATTGAGAAGCAGAGGAGCGTAGACTGGACGGACAATAACAGAATCTGTGAGACGTACCTGTGTGGACAGTCTTGTGGCTGGCAAGGTTGCCCTTGTAGCGGAAAGCGGCCTGGCAGCGGTCACACTTGTATGGCTTGTCGCTGTGTACTTGAAGCATGTGTTGCTTCAGCGCTTCATCTTCAGCAAACTTGGAGTCACATTCATTACATAAGAATGTACCGTTTTCTGTTAGGAAGAAATCACAGTAAGAGTTAACCCCTAGTCCTGAATAATGCATTATCATTTTTGATTTGCTTTAGTCACTGACGTTTAATATCCGTCATAAACTCACCACAACTGGAGTCTGAGTATTCTGAGTGCAGTTCTGCCATGTCCTCTGCTAGACGGGACCTGGAGGTGTTGGGACAGACTTCTGAGTGCTGTGGGGACGGGGTGCCGCAGGATGAGCAGTTCAAGCGGCTCAAGTAGTGTGGAGGATGGCTGTCACCGTTCCTCAGTGACCCCTCAAGTGCACTACAGACAAAAAACAAAAACTCAAGTCAGACCTAAACAAACACGTTAAACATGAATGAGTAAATCAAATTAATTCCAAAATAAATGTCCTTAAATATCTGTATTGGTGAATGTCCAAAATCCAGAGCATTTTAATTTGACTCTGGTTTGTTTTAAGGAATAATGTATTGTTTTTGAGGAACACTTTATAACTGGATTATATCAAATAAAAATGTACAAAACCTAAAAGAGCCTCTGCTCATGATACCTTCCTACTGCAAAATCCTCCCAGGACGTCAATTTGAATTATATGCCAGATGTATATTTTTTTGGCGTTCATAAGAAAAGTATGTAGCTTTGTGTTTAAAAAAACCTTACCTGTTAATGATGTTGTTGAGACGACTAGCCTGGGGCACAGGCAGGTCCTCACTGTGATCGTTGTTCTTAATTGTGGTTTGTGGGTCGAGGTTTTCAGAGTCGCTGGGGTGGAGGTAGGGTTGCAGGCCAAGGCGCTGAGGGGAACGAAGCCCGGGATCCCGCAGCCCCACCTCCTCTTCCTTGGCGCTCTGATTCAGTACGATGAACTTGTACTTCTTCCAGTTGCGAGCTTTGGGGTCCTGCGTACCTTGCGGGGCTTGCACTCCGACGGCTTGGGAGAGGCCGGCGTTCTTGCTGCTGCTGGACTCTGTTGGGGAGTTGGGCTGGCAGTCTGATTTGAGAGGGCTCTGCGGGCTGCTCATGAGGCTCTTGCGTCCAGCGGAGGAGATTCCGAGGGGGTAGTGCTGATGGATCAGGTCTTCCTCTGCCTGAGGAGCGTGATCTTTGCCTGAGTCCTTGTGGTGCTCGAGGGTCAACACAGGAAATGCACGCTTCCTTGTGCCGAGAGCAGTAGACTGGCTGACCCCCTCGTGGCTTTCCTTCCTCATCTCATCGTCTCTCCCTAACTCTCTGGAAGCGTAGGTGGTGGAGTGAATAATGCTGGAGGAGCTGGTGCCCACTGCCCTGGTGTACTCTGCCCTGATGATGTTGGCGCTGTCATGCGGAGAACAGTGCTTGTGGTGGATGCCACCCTTAGAGAGGTCAGCAAAAGCGTTTTTGGCATCAGTCAGCTTGCAGAGAGGGAAGGGGAATCCTGGCATGGGAAACTGCCCGTAGAGATGGTAGTTGCTGGGGGTGCTGACCCCACTGAACATGTTTGAGCCATAGGGCCTCCCATCCCTGAACGGAGCTACGCGGCTGTGCAAACTGTCAACAACATCATGGGGCCGGTAAGCATGGACATCCTGAGGTAAAACCAAGGGACTGACCAAAAACTCGTCTCTTGGCAGCTTGGCGGACGGATCACTGTGAAAAGAATGACAAGGTAAAGAACACTGCAGGTGCGGATAATGATGAACAGGACGGATTTGTAATGGAACTTTGTTCTACCAACCTGGATTTGATGAATCTGTGGCAGGTGTCCACAACATGGTCCATCTGCAGGTAGATGGCTGTGTTCATGATCGCCATAATCAGACTCTCCTTTAGTGTCAGACGGGAGGTGTACATAAACTCTAGCAGGATGGCAAAGCCCTCTGGGTCCACCTTTGGGTCCAGACTGATAGCATTAAGGTTGCACTTGTGGGAGTCAGTAAAGATGGTGTAAAACAGCCCACTGACACCAGGGAAAAGAAAAAGAAATACAGACAGAGCGTACCAAAGATTAGTCACATCATCTCCAAACCGTGGCATAGAAATTGGCTCATGTAACTAACACACACCTGCAAGCCATGAGAACGGTCTTGTGTGCCCGAAACTGCTGTCTGTTAACCAAGATAGTGACATCTGTGAGAATATCTCTGCTACGCAGCCGGTTCAGGTTGAGCAGGACATCACTTGCATGGCGTGTGAATTGTATGCAGCTGTCTGCTGCGCAAGCCATTTTGTCAAGTTCTGCGAATAGAAAAAACCCACAGGATTATTTCACAAAAATAGTGGAATGGTGAGTTTATTTCAGTGGTATGCAACAGCTCAGTGCTGTGTTGCGTGAAGTACAGGTCATCTTTAAAGTAAACTAATTGGGCTGAAATCATTTATGATCCTCACAAGGTCTTCATCAATGTGGCAGACTGAGAAACAGATGCAGCCCTTCCTCCAGAAGGCGGCGCCATTTATTAAATAAACACTGTCTAGACATTTAAATTTCTACCCTTGGATTCATTTCTCTCCCCCTCACTGTCTCTGTCTGTGAACCACTGGTTGACAACTTAATGTAAGAAATGAAAGAAAACGTGTGGCACATATAAACCAGCAGACCAAAGTATCCATGAGAGAATTCTGTAATATCGGCTTCATTTTATGTATTTCATTTTCGGAAATACAAACAGAGACTCCACTGAACACTGACTGAGTCATTACAAATAGCACATATTTAAGTAGTAAACACCACTAAATGTCCTGAGCATTATTTTTAAATCGCTTGTCGGTTTTATCATGAAGATGAGCCCGGCTCGCTCTAAGTCTAACGGAGAAAAGTTGAGTGTGTGTGTCTGTGCCTTCAGACCGGCGGGCTCGGAGTTTCATGCTCTTCACTGTCAACATGCTGATCAAATAAGGGAAATGGTTTGGTATTTTACACTTAGAAACACTTATTTTTTTGTCATACAAATTTAAATCCAAACTATGAATTTTAATTTCAACTGCAGGGAGTGGCTCTCCTAACCGACCCGGTGCAGCAGTAACAGTTTGCCTGGTTCTGCTGTAATAAAGCCTGTGACAGCGTGTGGTTGTTGTGGGACCCAGCAGCGCTCGGTTTTCCCTTTACTTTAAGTGCATTTGTAGGTCAATAACTTAACGTGAATGAACACCAGTATTTAATTAACCCACGGCAGGATTGGCTTTATAACCCGCATGCAGATTTATGACAGAATCTTAAAGTCAATATCAAGACTGAAGTCTGTAACTGGACCCGTCCGAAAATAGAAGCAGTTGAGAATGCAGCCTAAATATCAGGACCGACGAGCAACCAGTAATGTAAACACAATTCAGAACATTTAATTACTACAACTATATAACTTCCGCCAATCTGCTTTATAGTGTGTTAATAAAATTGACAGCGCACAGATTTTTGTCAGCCCAAAAAGTAGGTCCTCAATATATCTCTGATTTTATTTTCATTTTATTGAATAGGCCTAAACGTGGTCATTAATTGTAACTGTTCCGGAGCATAAACACTGTAACCGAAACTCTCAGTGCGTGACAGAAATGAGGCAACACTGAAGCCAACTCTGCGCATCTCGGCCAAACCTTCCAACTTGGTGTAGTTAGACAGGCTAGCTATCACACAGCGCGGTGTCACAGTGGAAACATAAGACACAACTTGGTGCGACGACGTGTCTTGTAGCCTCTACCGTGGAAAGAAAACACACACACACACACACACACACACTAATGTTTCCGCCACAATGTTACGGTAACAGACGGGCTTGTTCGGCGCAGCCTTTTGCGCTCCATTAGAGCAAATTACCGCCGGAGCGACCGCGGAGTAAAAATACCCTGAACCTGAGGCTGCCATGCTGCCAGCAAAGTTGCTCTGACAGCGCGCGCGAGCGAGCGAGCGAGCCGCCGCGCGCAGTTGACAGTTGAACGTACAAAGTGTCGTTAAATCAGAGCTCATTAAAGCTCCGCTCACCCTCTTAACACCGACAACTACCTCCACCCGACACACACATACAACAACCCGGGCTCTGGCTGCCTTTTACACCCCTCAAAAACGCTCATTTCCCTCGGCGTGGTTCGCTGACCCGAGCGTTATTACAGCGTTACAACATGACACAGTGTCAGTGCGCTATGGTCGGCTACAGCGGAGACAGGCTGCCGTCTGCCTCCGCTGGTTCAAGGCGACCAGCGACCGCAGCGCAGCGCAGCGCAGCGCAGCGCTGAGGCTGCCGTCTGTCAGAGAGCGGCGCACTGCCTGTCACTACACGAGCCACTTCAGAGTTTCGACTCTGCACTGTCCAAGCTGCCAGGAGACACAGTCACACACAGCCCCGGCTTCACAAACACTTAAACGGCACAAATGGACAAATAGCTATGTCTAAAACATCAGCAATACACAGTACATAACAACTTCGCGCCAAATTAGAGCAAAAAAGGAATTTAAAAAATCACCTGGTAGCGCTTTCCTAGAAACTTCTTGCATCACCACTTCTAAGAACCCCAGTTCTAAGAATCAGACGAGCTCAATTCTCGGAATTTGAGCCCGAGACCGTACCACTTTCCCGGGGCAGGGGAGAGACGTTTTTTTCCCTTGTGGTAAAAACAACTTACTTTCAAATCGGTTATTCTAACACGTATTGCACATGGCGGTTCTTACATTAAGCACGGCACAATTCCAGCGTCTGAATGAGTGAAAAAATAAATATTATTTCTTAAAATAACGCAGAAATTAGTTTCACAGTGATCCAAACCCCCCCGCATTTGGTAGAGTCCACAGTCACAGGACGTCGAGCCGGCGACGTCACCAGTTCCTTAAACCCAGCCCCCGAAATTCTCAGAACTAATTTATATTCTATGATTTAAGCAATGTATCGTTTCTCTGCCTTTCGTCGCATTTAACACACAGACCCAACACACAGCACACAGAGCGACACCTTAATTAGGCCCATGCGGACAGGTCGGTGTGGCAGGCTCATTTTTTAGCCAGATTTCCTGCAGGTATGCTGACTTCATAGATGGAGAATGCTTCGAGTCACCGTCGGGGGTTTGTTGAAAAAGGAAAGCCTTAATAGATTTATTTTTCACAAGTGTACAGGCAGTCAGTTGAGCGTGTCATGCTGTGGATGTGACTGTTAAGCGGTTTGTTTTGCATGGTGGATTTGGCACTTGTCGGGTTTATACACTCATTTGCGCCTATACCGGTGTAATACATTGGCTTTAGAACTGTTACTGTGCCACTGATTTGCCAGGCGGTGAATCAAACTGAGATTTAGGCTAATTACTGATGGGATCTACTGTGAATTAACTCATATATAGTTTCATAGAAAACTTGTTGCATGGAAGGGAGGGATCATCAATCTATAAAATCATAACCTGTGAATGCAGTCAGTCTAGGTTGTAATTTAAAATCAGGCATTTGGGGTTTATGTGTATTAAAGTATTAAAGTTAAAAACGCTATGTGACCTATTGCACACGTTGTGAAATTGAATGTCAAGGTCAAGTCTCTGTGGTTGTGCTGCTGAATGATGATATTGTATGCCTGTATTGTAACTACATTTAGACTCCAGCCTCTTGTTATGGGGTGGCTGTCTTTTCTTTGAAAGTGTTTAGTCCTTCCTGAGAATTATGGGTTTGATTGGGAAATGTATTAATTGGAAGCAGAGGGTGCTTGTGAAATTGTCCATGTCAGGTGATGATGTGAAGACTTAAACAAAAACATTGCTCATTGAAATGCAAAGTGAAAGATTCCTGGAAAATTAATTGAATGCATTGCTGTGTGTTTTTTTTTCTCCCTACCATTTAATTTAAGGCATGTGTACTCCTTGTTGCATCATTTCTCAGAGTTGGGCAAGAATAAACAGAGACTTTTTTACTTTTCAGCTTACTCGTGTTGTGTTTTAGTTCATGCTCTTTTAGTTTGAAGACTTTTGTTTCAATCGATGGCATCGAAGAGAAGTTGTGTGAAACCACGTCGTCCCTGCGTGAGAACTGGTGTAAATTTACATACCGTTTACCAGTTCATAGGCGGTTATGGTGCTTGGTTAGGGGATGTGTGTGACAGGATCTGTATTAATTTCATGAGTGGTGGGCAAGCTTTTACTGTCCGTGACTCACCTTGGAAACTTTGTTTGTGGTGATTCCAAACCATGGATTCCCCGTCCTTTCTCATCCCGTTCACTCCTTGGCACAGAAGGAGCATTTGCTGAGCTGATAATACATGACAGAGACAAGTGTATAGCATTAATTAGAAGATATATTAGTTCACATGACAGCAGTCCTTTCAAAATATATCATTTATCTCCAGTAGTTTTAATATTAGCTCATAACACACAGGATCCTTAGATTTAAATGCTCTATATCGATTCAATATTTGAATGATAAAGTTAAAAGAAGATCGGTGGGCAAACAGAGACTGAATAATGAGCTCCATTTAATGTTATTAATGTTAATAAACACAGTACATTCTATGTTCTGTTATACAGGCTTATCATCTGTATTATATTTGTGTTTTATTTTGTTATTTGCTATCCACGGTGTCCTTACACCTACTGATCATTATATATTTTATAGTCTTTGAAGAATATCTTGTACATTTCTCATAGTACTTTTCTTTTGATGAAGACAAACGGAGGAGTGAGACTACTTTTTAAGATTCTCTTGATTTTAATGTGAATTTATTTTCCTCTTCACTAACATGAGAATGTTTTTGTAATTTTCCACGAGACACAATCATGCTTATGCTTATGAGGTTAAACTGACATCAGTTATCTTTGTCATTCAGTGTACAACAGACTGTGTTACGCACATCCATATGAATCAGATGCAGCGCTTTTCTTTTCTTTTTTTGTTTAACCCTTCATGTGACGACACACTCCACTGTAATGTAACCGACATTTCCCTGTGGATTGCCCGTGCATCCGCCCATCTGGATTCGGCATCCCACTAAAAACACTCCAGGTGTTCACAAACCATTAGGGAAAAAAAGTCTCCAAAATAATTAAGACGCACGCTTTTACAGCAATCTCCGATTCAGCACTGCCAAATAAAGACTATCTTGAGCTCCAAACAAAGAGCAGCGTCAACTTTATTTCAATCCACTTGGGGGATGTTTAAGGCGCTCCAGCACAGTTATGCATAATGCACGGCCATAAACCATCCAGGAGTTAGGAGGGAGATGTGTAATTTACCAAGGCCCCATGCTGTGCCCAGCTATAGAAGGATGAGATAATTACTGCAAATCCTTGGCAAACTTTTACTCAACCAATTCCTAGCAAAAATAAATGACCCACTTACACAGGACAGAGAGAGTGCAGGGTAGCTGATCAATATCCCCCCGTCTGAACTGATAGGAATGACACACAGGGCACGTTGTCACAGTATGAACAGTTTATCGGTTAATACTTGATCTCCATTCAGGGTGTATAATTAAACAACGGGTCATGGTGTTAGGGTCTCGGTCTCTTTGTCTAGGCGGCACGCTGCTCAGAAACAATCAAGAGCCAAAGAAGGTTGTGACAGTGATTCAAGTCTGCTCGGCCAGTAACAGCTGCACATTTAAAAAAAAAAAAAAAAAAAATCTTGTACACTTCTGACACAGTGTGAAACATCTCGAAGCTGTATCATTGCCTACACTTGGTGCATGATAGGTCATTGAATAGAAATGCCCACTGACAAAAGCCTGAGGCCCGGAGGTTGCCTCACTTTTTTTTTTCATAAACTGCACACTTTTGTCTCGTTTCACAGCAAATTTCTGCCAACTTCAGTGTTCATTGTCAGCAAAGATGTGAGTGTGGAGTTTTGTTCTGAGAGGCATGATGCAACCAAGCTGTAACACCAAACAGATAATGCTGTTAGCTACAGAGGTCTTTTTAGTTCCTTTCTTTAAAAGAATTTCTTTTTATATTGTTAAGTTTCACTTTTTTAACTCCATGCATCCCAGAAGCATTTCTCCTTCTTTTGTCCACAACAAAGTCGCCCTTTGTCAAACACCAAATCCGACTGCAGGTCTGAATTGTGGCACGGCTGCAGTGCGTCTATAAAAAGATTTGTTCTTCTAGTCTTATTGTATGTATTTATACGTTTTCCTTGATCGTCTATTTGAGCAGATCATTGAACACACATGACATGCATAATTTATCACGTCAGTTAAAGAGCACAGCGTGTAATGAATAGACGCAGTGAAATATTCACTGATAGCACTTCAAAAGGTTTTCTGTGCAGGTAATGATGAGCACTCTTTACTTGGAAGCTCGCCTCTTGCTTTTTTAATTAACAGACAAACAGGGAAGTCATCTTCTGACACAAAATCATGTCAGTTTGCAGCAGTGCGGCTGCCGGTCTTTGCACTCACACACTCCATGTTTAAAGTTGGATTTCATTGCACTTGACAAGGTTAAACACACAGGAAGATTACCAGCAGTACAGAATAATAGAGATAAGGAGTTTACAGAGGATCACAGTTATCTAAAAGGAGTCCCTTGATTATGTGTACTGCTGTTGATATAATTGTGAATGTGTATTTTGGCAATGCCCTTTATTTAGATTGTTTTAAAGTCTTTCTCATCCTCAGTACTTTCATAGTGTGAAGTTATGCATGTATTGTAAAGCAGCAACAACAAAAAGTGTTTCAGCTGTAGTGGTCAATAATGAGACTCCCTGGCCGTGTAAAAGCTTTGTTAAAGTTGTTTTATTCTGCTTTATCAGGTTTTTCAAAAGAAAAATACACACACGAATACCAAAAAAACAACTTTGGAGTAAGTTTCTGCAGTGTGTCTGTGTGGATAACCTTGAGTTCACCAGCTTGCCTGTGCAAGCTACATGCTAAGGTTATAGTCAGAGCAGAGGCGTGTTAGTGGGCTAGAATTCCAATTTAGTCAAATCAAAGCATGTAGATTCAGGACTTTCTCAAGGCCAGCTGAGAGGAGCCAGGAATGCAGCCTGCAGAGTCGAACTTGCTGGAATTTTCCACGCATACCAGAAACAGTCCCTTGCCAGTGTGCCATCTGCTGGATGATGGGTCAGTAACTTCCACAAAATATGAGGATATAGTACAAGTAATAGCTACCATCCTTACAAATCTTCACAATCTAAGCGTTTGCTCTAACTTCCTCTTTTCTCTCACATGCCCAGGGCTGCAGAATGCAGGAGTTCCAAGAGCACATGAGGAGGAGTTGTTAAATTTGGGACAACTTCTGCACAGATTAGTTTCAAAGCCTTGGTATGTGTCTCTACATGGATTCAGTTTGGTATTTAAATCCAGAGTATCCACTCTCAGTGATAGGGAGCTTTGGTGCAGAGATTCAAATGGTAAACAAGTGGGTCTTATTTCTTTGCACCACCCTTAGTAATGATCCAATAAGAATCATCT